CCTAGCCATTGTCAACGAACCTCCGGCAGCACTTTTCCATTTTCCACTTTCCATTTCCCGACCGCAGGTCCGCCCCCTGTTTATATTGTTCTGTTTTGCATTATCTGCAGGTTTCTGCACAGATGCCTCCGAATGCACGACTCAAACCCCATTATCCCCTCTTTTAATGTGGTATTTTCAGAGGCGTTGTTAGCAGGGGGCATTACAAATGAGGTACAAATATTTTCTTTTGTTCTTTATAATAATTAATTTTACAGAAATAAGCATTTTACAATTTCAAGACTTAAGACATTAAATTAAAACCCCCTTCAAGCCAGACTCCCGAATCTAAACACCCCTTCGATGTCGTACGCGACATCCTTTTTATTGTTGCAACTGTTTACAAAGCGAAAAAGTTGCGGGCGAAATAAATTGCGGCTCGATAATAGAAGCTGGAAAATTGAGAAAATGGGAAAACCCAACACGTGTCGATTCGCAAAATCGCAAACTGTGAAAATTCGTCCGCCCCGAAAACCTTGACAACCCAAAACAGGGGCCTAGATACAAAAAAAAATACATAAAAAGGGGGAAACGATGTAAAGTTTGCCAAGCCGGTCCGAAGTTTTCTTTACGCAATCATCATAAATTAACGGCTCTCAACAAGTGGCAACAGAAATTGTGGAAAAAGGCGTGGAAAGTGTGGAAAAGAAAACTAAGTAGGTGAAACTTTTCCAATGGCAGGGAAAAAACCAACAGGCGGGGAAATCTCCACAGGCTGGTTTTCAGTCCTGAATCTTTGTACTCCTTGTTCTTCACAGAGTTCCCTGCTCATGGAGCATATATGTGTGTGATCCTAACGACTGGCCACTTTTCGCAATTTTGTTTGACCATTTATGGATTAGGCTAGAATTTACAATGGTCCATGTTGACAATACACTGTGAAAAACATAAACGAAAAAATGGCTTATGATATATATGGAAGAGTTCATTTTTAGAGTAGAAAGTCTATGGAATTTAAATGCTCCATGTTAGAAAAACACTGTCAAAAACTTTTAATGAAAAAAATGTACAAATTGCTCATTATATATAATAAAAGAGTATATTTTTAGAGAAGAATGTATTATAGGATACAGGATTATTGCTTAAAAAACTAATGATTTTAGACTTTTGATTTTTTTTAATGCTAAGACCAATTTCTTAATAACAAGTAGATCAATAGTCTTAGATTAAACATTTTAAATTGCATCTATGACCTCTATTGTGCAGCTTCTCTGGGTTATTCTGTGTGTGAAATTCGCTTTCAATTAAGGGACAGGACAGCAGCTTGTCCTCGCCGGCAGTTGCACGGCCAAATTATGTTCATGCATATTTAAAATACTTAATGAATTTCATGAAACTCGACGTTGTCTGTTCGAGTTTGACGAGTTACAGAATGTTTCGGCCAAAGAGGAGGGGGCATGGGCATGGGCGTGGGCGTGGGAAAGGGGACGAATAGTGGGGCAAGGACGCCCCACGCCTGTTGCTGTGGCGATGGCATAATTGAGGAAGCATGTACTCCACTTTGGGGAGTCTCTGGTGGTGAAAGTAATACAAATGGAGGGGAAGAAAGGGTAAACATTCTATAGTTCGCCTGCGATGGGAGAGGGGGTAAGCACTTTGGCCAACTATCTCCCAGGGCTCTTACATCCTTACATCCTTCGCTGATTGGGAAACAATCCACGAATGGCACACAATTAAGCGCAGGCAAAATGTAGTCTAATTTTGGGGGATCTTCCAGGGAAAAGCTCACTTTTTAGTTTCGGTTTTCCGCTGAATTTTCACGGCTCGCAATTAAAGCGGGGGCGAAAGTGCGAACTACTTTCTGGGAAAAACGTGAGCAGTTTCTGTGTTAAATTACCTAAAAGGTAGATTTATTTTTGGGTTTCAAAAACCTATATTTCCAACGAAATTTTTACCATGGAAAAACAACTTTGAGCCACACAAAGGCAACGTTAACGTTAAAATCGCATGATAGACGTCGAGAAAAATCCGCCAAGGAATGGGAAGCATGCGACATTTAACCGTGAAAAGAGCGTAGGAAAAGCGAGGGAAATTCCTTGGTGGGGGCTTTTCCCTGCAAAGAATGGAATGAAGTCGCCCTTTGAGAAAAGCCCACCTTAGAGGGAAGAAAACAAAAAAAAAAGAATTGAGAAGAAGCGGAACAGGATAACTTGCCCCGCGGAAACTTCAATCAACTGAAGATTTGCCCCAGAAACTTTCAAATGACTGAAATGTGTCACCCTAGGGAGCCTAATTTTTTGCTCTTTAAAAAGGCAGTTGGAAAATTCAAACTAAAATTGCAATCAATCCACAGGGGAATGCAGAAAGTTTCCCAAAAAGGCATGCCATTTTTACATCCCAAAGGATTTTAGAGATTTCCATTTTCTATGGCATGATAAATATGTAAAATGCAGAATGATGACCACAAAACAATTAATAAATGTTCGCCACGTGGCAGTTTAATTTAATAATTGATTAAATAATGCTGCTTTTGAACTGCCAATATTTTCCCAAACCCCTCGAAAGCCCCCTTCACCCAAAAATAAATTGATTACCACCTGGCGAGCCCGACTGTCAGAAATTAAAAACGAATTGTTTTATTTTAATCCGCGATGTCGGGGAATTCGCCAGGCAATTGGCTGTGACTGGATCACCCCCCCAATCGCTTAACCCCCATTCTTAACCCATGATTCCCCAGAGAAGCCCCCAAAGATATGCAACAGTTAACAGTCCGACGTCTAATTTAATTGGCTTAGCCTGAGCTCCGGGCTTAGGGCTCTCGTCTTTGGGCTTTGGTCTTTGGACCCGGGGCTTTGGGGCTCCTCCACTTTACAGCGCTGACAACCGACTCGGGGCATTAACCTCCTGACGGCCAAGGGGGTTGCCATGCGCCTGGGTCGCCGGGAGCATCGTAAAACGCTGCGTATCAAATTATCGTTAGATTTATTGCCAGCCAGCCAGGCAGTTGCTCTCACTTTACATTTCTTTTTTATGACAGCAACCGAACAACAGAGAAAGTTGTTAGAAAAGTGTATGTTCTTGTATGGAAAAAGTGGCCGAATGACAGTTGGATTGCATAGCCCTCGATTTATGCGTTCTGGGGTTCGTGTTTATCCCACAGATACAGTTACTATATATCCGATAGCCGACAAGCGGTTTGTTGTCAATTCACTTCCCAACTGAACCAGAGATTTATTGAATCAGCAATATTAAATGCATAACTATGGAAAAAACGCATTCAAAAAGCCCGCACAAATTAATTAATGTACAACTAATTTAGTTCACATAAAATGTGTATTTTGAAAATGTAAACATTAATATTGTACACATTATCCTGCCACACTTTGATGAGATAGTCTTCATAGTTATATGCCAGTTAAAACAAAAGTTAATTGCTTGCAATTTAACTATGAAGTTGTGAGGTTGTGATTTTAAGAATGTTTTCTTTAACTCGACTTTGTTTAAGAGAACAGTAACAAGCTATGGTGGGTTTTAATTAAAGTTGATAATTATATGACAATGAAGGGGTTTTAGCCCTGCAATAGGGACGAGATTCCATCGAATGATGGCCATTTTGCAGCCGATGCCATTGCAGTTTTCAATTATGCATGCGTTTCGACAGGTGGCGCCCTGAATCACTCGGCACGCGTCATGAATTTTTCATGATGTGGGCAACGCCTCTTCCTGCGATTTTCTGAATTTTCACCCAGCATTTTCCCCCTGAATTTCCCTTTACCATTGGCACACACGTTTAGCTGGCTGATACGGATGATTGGATCGACATTATGCAGTTCTTTCAATCCGGCATTGAAGCCAATCAGTCGACGGGGGCGGTGGGAGGCGTAATGGCCGCGGGGGCGTGGCAGTTGCATTGTCAGCTGCATTGCAATTCACCTGGCTGATTACCAAAACGCTGACGGAGCCCCGACAGTTGTGAGCGGGAAATATGGGAAATATGAGAAAATGCAGCCATGTGGCTCAAATATTAAGTATACGACGTATGGGCCGCATGCCATTGTCTGTTCTGCATTATGGGAAGTGACAATGGAAATGGCATAGCTGGCATTCACAGATACTACATACCATTTGTTGTTCTTTGTACTCCTCTAAAATGCCAAGAATTCTTCATCATTTGTGCCTTTAATCCTTCATCGAGCACTTGTACTTCTCAAGTAAAATGCAGAACCTATTTATAGATATTTCACAGAGACAAAAACAAGCGACGTGTCTTTGCATAAATATTTAAACGGCTAGAACTTTCATATCAACTAGAAAATTGAATTGGAAAACAGTGTTCAATGTTCAGATTTATATTTAATTTCAATTTTATAACTTAAATTACTAACAGGTATTGTGTTCGGAAAAATATTTAAAAATATGGGTAAATTCCCAGAAACTTTTTCTATTTATGTATTTATTCTCTGGTTAAAAGGCAATTATTAAATTCCCAGAAACTATTTCTGTTGTCGATGAGGCCCTGTTAGCATATTCATACGTCTGTTTCCTTGGGTTCTCCAATTCATTTACGTTTAATACCCCTTACTTAGTTACCAAACACTCAGCATTTTATGGCCCCGTTTTAGGTTTGGTTAGTAAATCCCGATTTTTGATTTGTGGTCACAAAAACTAGGCCCCAAATCCCCCGAACATATATCAAATGGCACTGTAATGACTGTGCCGGGCGTGTGCTGGCATAAGCCGAAGGCATTGCCACGATTAACCCACGCGCGATGGTAAAGTCCACAAAACTAAGACAGAACAGGCTAGGAAAATCATAAAAACGCCATATGCCGAGTGGAAATCTGTGTTGCAATAGTCCTTGTTTTTTTGGCTTTTTGTGCCCCACCGGGCAAATGGAGTGTAATGAAATGAAAGATTTATGTTAATGGCTTGCGGCAAGTAGGCCTAACCAAAACTATGTATGCTAAGCAGAGAGGCACTGTTTATAAATAATAAATCGAACGGGGATGACAATCGCTCACCTCCGAAGAGGCCAGACAACGCCTATCCTTCCGCACTTTCAAATTTTAAGCCCAAAGTTGGCGCACTTTCTGAGCTTTCCGTACTTTCCGTACCGGGCCGACGGGGCGTATGAGCGACGGCAGAGCGCAGATATCAGATATCAGATATCAGGTACCAGAGGTGGGATATCAAGTAGCCGACTGCGGAGGCGACCTGCCACAAGGCGACACAAAAGCGAACTGAGGCGCCCATCCGGCGACTGTTGGCCGCCACGGCCACATGGCAGTGGAAATGATGCTGCCCGCACGAAGCCATGGAGCTCGGCTCCGGATGGCTCGGCATTTTGGATCTCCGAGCTGCAAAGGACGAGGGGGGGGGTTCAAAGGAGCACACAGTCGCTGCAGGATATCCACCGGTTTGGCCACACATTCGAGGACGGAATATTCGAGCAGGTCCAAGGTAGCTCCTACAAAACGAGGGATTCAGGATTAAATTATAAATTAAATTTGAAGCCTCTTTGGGTTTAGAATTTAAGGTTATTAAAACAAAGAAAAATGTAAAAAAAAAGCTAGGCCCCTTCAAATTTATTCCGAAATACTTAAACATCTCTAAATAAATAAGTATAAAGGGAAGATACTTAATTTTAATTATAAAAACAACAATAATTAGACGAAGAGCTTTATCAAATAAACTTGTATAACCAAAATATATAAAAAACAGTACAACAATAGTTGTATATATAGTTTATTATTTAGCAAATTATTTAATATTTGTTTAATAATAAATTAACGATGAAAAAATCTTGCTATTGGGAGACCTTTATTTATATATTACATTTGGTTTGACAACTTGAGTTGAAACTTCGTCTTAGACGTGAAAAGTCAAGAAGCTGAGACCCTTATTTAATTAATATATCTTCTACTTAATTCCTAAGGAAGCTTATATTGTAATCTTTCGGGATATATATTTTTAGATACCTTAGTTCGAATTTCTTTATCGGTACAGTAAGCCCCCCCTTTTAACCTGTACCACTTTTCCGAGCACCTCTGTTCAAAGGCGTTGACTTGAGGCCTGTCTTTGGGCCAAGTCGACACCTGACCACAGCTCTTTCCTGGCAAAGTCCGGCTAATTACCCCGGTGTCCGGCCGTATTCGGTGGCACTTGGCGGCACGTTGGCCGTGTCCTTGTGGTCCTTTGGCCCCAGGAGAGCCACCATCTGACGACTTTTCCCCCCGTTTGTTATCATTTGACACAAAGTCAACTTTCAGAGGCAGGCGAACTCAATTTGCACCTGGACAGGCCAGACACCTGTGCATATGAGTTTTTTACGTACTTATACTGGAAGAAAACCGGCTTAGGTTTTTATATTAAAAAAAAATTGAAAATATTAAACTTAAGGATATACTACATTTTCATTTATTTACATGGGATTTTAAAGTTTTTAATCAAATGTATTACCCATTTGACATTTAAATGTGTTTTATACACCTGTACGAAACCCTTAAATGAAACTTGAAATAGAATTTTAAAAATTGGTAGGTCAAGAACTTTACTGCCTTTTTTCGCGGTGTATTTCTGGGTATACGTGTGAGTTTAAGCCGCAGAATGTTGCTGTTTCTGCTGCTTTTTCTTCGCCCCTCGACTCGACGTTGATTTGGAGTGCTGTTTATGCATGCAACAGGGCGTATGAGTGCTGGCTAATTGGCCCGAAGTGGCAGCGCAGGTCGCAGGTCACAGGTCACACAGCAACAAGTGCGGCTCACACTGCTGAAAGCAAGGCGGTTTTGGCGGCACTGGCTCACCTGTACTAAGATGGTAGATTTTAAAAAAGCCAAATTAAATGTATTTATCAATTGATCACAAACACTTGGTAAATAACTCACGTATTTACATTTAACAAATTTACAAGTTCGGAAATGCAGTTGACTTTGAATTCATATAGCAGATTGAAACACTTAATTCCCTATTACCTTATTTGGAAATTTCTGTAAACTATTATATTCAGTTAAGAATGTTTTCTTTATATTCTTTTAACTTTCGCTTTATAACAACATTTGCTTTTGTTAGCAGAATGTAATGTTCTTTTTTTCAGTTTGTTATTAAGTTAAAAAATGATTTGATTGTATTTTTGTAACTTGGTTTTCGACCATAAGTGTAGGGGTATTTTTATTTTTTGTTGACAATTTAATTGTATCTTAAATTTGCTAGTTTTACCCATGGAGGCCACTGTTGAATTGTTTAGAATTCTCCCTCTACGTTGCCATTTCTCCCACAGCCCCGCACAGTTTTGGAAGCACTGGCTGGAAATTCAATTGAAATGCAGCTGGTCGCTCGGTTTTTTGCTCGACTTTGCTGGCTTCGCGCTTATTTATGGTTTTCGGTCGCATTTCGGCGACACTTCGCATGGCTTGTTGCGCTATTGCCAAAAACGATAAAGCGGCAAAAGCAAAACATTTAATTGGCGGCTGCCCCTTGTCCATCTCACATTTTTTGTCGGGTAACTTTCTTTCCGCAAAAAAAAGCGAAATAAAAAGCGGACACCCACACTCCCGCTGGCATACAAATGAAGAGTAATGGTCGAGGCCCCCTCGAAAAACCCCGCCCCTGCTGCGTTGCTTATGCAAAGTTTTGGAATAAACGAATAAAACGAAAAAATAACCGAAAGCACACGAAAAAACAAAAGACATTTGCGGCTGATGTGAAAAATAAAAGCAATTAAAAATATATATAAATATTGTAATAATTGTCGTAAAGTCGCCGTCGAAAGAGGTAGACACAAAAAAGAAGACATAATTAAATATTTCCAGTGGCTCTGGCTGTTGGCATTTAAGTGTTATATAATATTGCCCGATTATGGGGGGATATTGTTTTTCACGGCCCTAATGGCCCCCCTTTCTTTGTATTTCTCTCTTTGGGCCATTTTTTGTTACGCTATTTTTTCCCGCGCTTCGCTCAATAATTTAGCTATTGCAACATTTTGGGCCAACGCTAAATGCGGTGAAAATCCAACACTTTTGTGTCGAAGTGTTAGCGTGGGAGAATTCGCATTTAACCCATTTTTGGTGAAGAAAACTTATTTTAAATGTTAGTTTTTTACTGTTTATTTCGATTCCAGTGATTTAAAATGAGATAAAATAACTGTAATAGTTGTTGAGTAACCCCAGCATACAAATAATATTTAAAACTATACATTTTTATTTACAAATCAAAATGAAATACATCGCATCGAATGGTAAAAACAAATTAAATTTTATGGCTTATGATTTTAAATCTTTGAGGTACGTCAAACTAGAAGCTCTTAGCTTTATGTTTCAGAGACAAAAGGGAAACACAAAGCTAAGAGCTAGGGGTTCGGTATCTGATATTACTAAAGATTACTACTACTAGAGCCCTGGGAACTAACCGAAGTTGTGCTAACGGGACTGCGTTTTCGAACTTTCCGTATTGTTATTTCCGTCTGGCGCATCTTCCGCTTGGCCAGTTCATAGTTGTTGACGTTAATGCAAATGCCTATGTAGGCCACCAGTTTGGGGGCCTTCAGATCGCTGGCCAACTGACTGGCCTTGGCCAGGGTCTCCTTCAGCCTCTCGAAGCGATTGAGCACGGCGTGCACTTGGCAGGCGAGGAAGATGCAGTTGAACCGCCAGATCAGGCAGTTGCAGCTGCGGGCCTCTGGGGGGTTAAGAGGGTTTAGAGGGTTAAGGGAAAGGAGCTGGGCTTAACCCACCGTTGAAAGCCTTGCGGGCCACCACCAGGCACTTCTCGAATCGCGACTCCTTGAAGTGACAGCGCGCCATCTCGAACAAAAGGTAGGATCGCTCGATCGGGTAGCGGGAGTGACGCAGACGACTCTCCAAAAGCTCCAGCTTTTGGCTGCAAAAATAAATAAATATAATTAAAAGCTTTTAACTTTGGATATAAAAAATGAATAATTTCAATAGTTAATAAGACTTAAGGGGGAAAAGACGCAATATTTGTAATACAACATAGTTCATAGTTAATGGAACAGAATGAAAATGTCTTTCAAAATAATACTAAAAGTAAAATACTAAATACTAAGTTTACAATATTTATAAGATTTGTTATCTTACACACTCACTCACTTATACCAAAAATGGTCTTAAGTAACTTAATATTAAAGGGACATAATCAAAATTCTTTTAAAAAAATATATGGTATTTTAATCTAAACTGTGATAAAATATGAATATACCTTGAATTATCTTCATGATTTTAATAATATAGTTTATAAGAAAGTTTCTTAAGCTTGGAATAGGCTTCCTTAAAGACACAATGCACTTGCCCACTCACTTGATTCGACTGTGCCGCTCCTCCTCCCGCTGGATCTCCAGGTAGATGTTGGGCCCCCCCAGCCTCACACTAATGTCGCGCAGCTTCTCCGACCGCAGAAGGTATAGAACGGGTCGATTCTCGGGCTCTAGGAAGTCGACATTGGCGGGAACGGAGCAGCGATCGCAGTAGGCCATTGCCACGGTGTTGTAGACATCGTTGAGCAGCTCCCACTTCCAGGGCAGCGTGCGCTGGGTCTTCAGTCCTATGAACCCCGACATTATGTGCTCCACGTAGTCGGACAGCCTGTCCACATCCCCCTCCCGGCGGAATCGGTGCACCTCCTCCAACATCCGCATACAGTCGCGTCTCGTCTGGTACTGCTTGTGGAACAGGTGCATCTCTTTGCGTCGCCGCCGCTCCTGCTCGCAAATCGCCCCCTTCCGTTGCCTTAAGTACCGCCGGTTGTACAGTGGGTTCCGGGCTTGCAACATTTTCTAATTTGGTAGGATGAAATCGGGAATGGTTAATTCCTTTTGAATTAGTAAAACCAGAGTATTACAAATTTTAAAGAGGGAATATTTTTCAATTAAAAATCCCTATTTTACGGACTCACCATGAACCGCCGGATAATAGCGTACTGCCCCTCGCTCAGCTGGCGCATGGAGGGCGTGGTCAAGATCCTGAGGGGATCGAGGAAGTTGCGGTCGCTGCGCAGTTGACGCAAGAGCGCAATGTCGACTGCATTGCGACCCATGTAGTTGTGGTTGTACAGACTCTGGCTCGCCCGCTGACGGGCCTTTTCCAGGGGGGTGCACTGTACAGGCTCCCGGACAAGTACGCTCTGCACGTCGCACTGCTGCCCGTCCCGCTGCGTCTTCCAAGGGGGGCTGGAGTCGCGGGCGGACAGCTTCTTCTGCCGGCGGCTGACCTCCTCGAGGACGTCACTGTGCTGATGCATGAAGGGAAGCAGGGACTCGCCCAAGGTGTCTTCGAAAACGTCGAGGGTCTTAGGGCGGTATAAGGAGTGAAATATTATATTAATGTTGTTACGAGGAATGAAACTATATTATTACACCAATCCGTTTTGGTTTTTTTTTTTCAATTTTTTTTAAATATTAATAGCTATAGTTAGTTCAGAGTTTACCAAATGGGCACGCCACTTGATTCAATGGGGAAAAAACTATATCATTATTTATATAATTCCAGTTTCTCTAAATCATTGGTCTAATGCTTTTTGTTTTATATATATGAAAAGAAAGAGGAAACTGAACTCACCTTTTCCTTGATCATACGGAATCGCCCTTGGGCGAACTGTCCGCCGAAGGTTCGTCCCTCGGTGAGGAGTGTGGTGAGGGCGTTCTCGAATTTGTTAGCCTCGAAGAGGTTGTCGCACTTCTCGGCAATGAGCTGGGCAGAGCCCGGAACACTTGACCTGGTCAGCTGCAAGGCCCTCTGGGCCCGCTGGACATCGAGAAGGGCGAGATCGGGGCGGGCCAGAGATCGCTGGCAGCGACCCCGTAGAAACAGGGACTTGTAGTCCCTGCGGCAGATGCCCGTCGTCTCCGCCACGCCCCCATCCGAATAGCTGCCTACGCCCACGGGATCAGGGGCGGCAGTGGGTGGCATCAGGCTGGGGCGTGACGTCTCGTCCTTGCAGACCGCAACCGCCCGGCCAAAACTCTCCAGAGCCTCGCGATTCAGGAGCCGACGGGTGTAGTAGACGCCCCAATCCCGGTAGATCTGCGACTGCATGGAGGAGCGCCACTCGAACCGCTGCCAGGGGCGGAGCTGCGGGAGTAGGACGCACTTGCCCGCATTGTTCAGGCCGCTCGACCAGGACATATTGGTACTACGCTAGAATTTTCAAGGACACACTAAATTTGGCCAACCAGAATTTGGCAAGGAAACAGAAACACTAGACACTAGGCACAAAAAAGGAACTTCAACTACTATAGCAAAGCCAAAATGATGGGAAATATTATCGATAAATAAATTTCCCAATAGTAGATATCTTCATCAGATGGCTTATCTTATTTCCAAACAATTTCTTGTTGTTTTATAAAGAAAGGTTTTTCTATGGTTATTGCATTTTTAAAAAATAATGTGTTGTTCATAAATATACATAAATATTCACATTAAAAATCTATTGCAGATAAAAAATATGATTGAAATAAGGATTTTTCTAGACTTGAAAATTGGTCATTAAAAACTATTATCAGCAGCTTTCGAAAGCGAATTTAGCCCCAGGTTATTTAAATCAGAAAATCCAGAGTGCCCTGGGCAAAAGTAAATTTTTTCTGAAACCAAGTTTCACTTTGAGCTAATATTTTCCCAGGGCATCCACAGCACTGCATTTACCTGGCCTCGAAAAACCACCGATATTAACTCGAAATTTCAGTTGTTAAACTACAATTATCATTTATTTCGCTTGATTTGGCTTTGAGTTGGTTTCAATAAATACAATAAATACGTATTAATTAACAGGCTTCAACGTTTAGCATTAACAATTCATTAACAATTACGAATTACAATAAATTAAGTTAAGGAGGGGTTAATGGAGTCTCCTCAGGGGGCGTGGCAGTCGGTGGGAAGGGGGGCGGTTGCGCAGACGTCGACGTCGGGACAACGACTTCGCTGCCGGCGTCGCATTTTCATTTGCATTTGCATATGCATTTTGATAGCCATAGCTATTTTCCTCAATTTCCACAGCGCTTTCCTCGGGCTTTGCTGCTTCGGTGGATTCTTCTGCATCCTCTTCTTCTTTCTCGGCATCGTCCTCCTCCTTCTCCTCTTCATCGTCTTCTCCTTCGTTTTTCTCTCCTTCTTCATTATCATCTTCGACTGCCTCCTCCCCTTCTTCCCCTTTTTCTTCTTCTTCAGCAGCTGTGTCGTCTGGCTTGACCTTTTCTTCATGACCTGTCTTCACCTCTTTCTCCGGCTTTTTCTCCCCCTCCTTCGCTACCTCTTCGGGCTTTTCTTCCGCCCCCTCTTCCTTTTTCTTCTCCCCCTTTATAACCTGGCTGGAGGGTTCCTTCACCTGGTCTTTTTTCTCTACCTCATCATCATCATCATCGTCAACGTTTATCTCATTATCGCTATCGTTTTCCATTTCAACAGCCAGTGTTGTCGCCTCTTCATCGACTTCTTCTTCCTCTTCTTCGGTCCCCTCTTCTTCAGCCGTCTCCCCGTCTTTCTTCGAATCGTCTACTGTCTTCTCACCCTCGTCTTCTGCTGTTGTCTTCTCCCCATTGTTCGTGTCATCAATAACAACATTGTCTGGCTTGTTAAATGTTGTAGCTGCTGTTGGTATTTTGGTCGGTATTTTAGTTGTTGTCGGTATTTTCGTTGTTGTCGATGTTGTTGTTGCTGCGGGCGCCTCAGTGGCTTTTATTGAATTTGTAATTGTTTCAATTACCTGACTTGGCCTCGGGCCACTCTCGCCATAACCATTGTCATTGTCAGGTGTCACTTGCTCAGAGTCTGCCCCCGTGTCTTTTTCTTCCTCTTTCTCTTTTTCTACTTCTTTCTCTTTCTCATTCTCTACCTCTTTCTCTTTCTCCGCCTCTGTTTCCGTCTCTTTCGCGTCTTCAGCTGGCGTTTCTTCTTCTTCGTCTTCTTCGAGAGGTGATTCTTCTGCCTGATCGCTGGCCATTAGCATTTCACTTTCGATTGGCGAAGGCTCCACCTCATCGAATTCTTCGACCTCCTGATGATCTTCACTCTCTTTATTGTCCTCTTTTTCATTTTCTTGTTGATTCTCTGAAAGATGTTGTTCGGGTTGATTTTTGTGGGAGTCCATCGCAATCAGGGGCTGATAACCCATCGGTTGATCTTCTTCCAAAGGATCGTCGTTGTGTATATCTGGTATATCTGTATGAATCTTCTCTGGTTGTTTATTCGCTGGTTGACTCTCCTGTGGTTGATTTTCCAAAGGCTGATAATCCATTGGTTCTTCTTCATTATGGTCACCTTCATTCAGATGATCGATTTGACCCATTGGCTGATAACCGATATCTTCACTTGGTAGATCCTCATCCTTTTCGAGCTGATCGATTATAAGCGGATGGACCAGTGTTTGATTCTTCTGAGGCTGTTCTTCCTTGAGTTGGTCCTCCTTTTGCTGATCGATCTGTGGCTGATTCTCCTGAGGCTGAGTCTTCTGCGCTTGGTTGTTTATCAGTGGTGGATAGCCCAACGGCTCGTTCTCCTCTTGATCCTCTTCCTGGTGCTCAGGATTCTTCTGGGGCTGAATTTGATCTGGTTCGTCCTTGACTTCCTCCTGCGAGGGATACTCCTCCGGCTGATCCTCCAGCTCCGCGTACTCATACTCCTCCGGATCGTCGCTCTGGCCACCTCCGGCTGGCAGCACGGGCTTCCCGTTCTTGTCCACATACTGCAGCCCGTCCAGGCCCATCCGCATGCACTGGAAATGCATCTCGAAGAGATCCGTGGTGGCCAGCCGCACCACGAAGTCCATGCACATGTTCAGGTTGTTGCCCACCATGGTGACCTCGGTCATTTGGACGCACATGGCCATGGGCACGCCCATCATGACGGGAATGCAGAAGGGCGCCGGATCCCGCACCGAGATCCCGTACTTGGAGGAGGGCTTGCCGTTCAGGAAGACCTCCAGTTGGGCCTCCTCCAGCTGCGGCACAAAGCTCACGTTGGCGCACACTGCAAAAAGAGGCAGAGTGGAAAGAAAACGTTGAATGAAAATTACAGATAGGCTGGGCGGGCACAACAATGAAACGATTCCATTCAATGAATGAAAGTGGCGGGTGGCAAACTGTCGGCGGATCCCAGGCGGATGGTTGGTGGATCAGCGGATGAGGGGGTGGCCACCGCTGGAAGCGCCAACAATTTGTGGCATTTTGATTGGCAAGTGCTGGCATGTCACGAAGCGAAGCGGAGCGAAATGGAAACCACCGCTCGCATTGTAGTCTCCGGCCAAGATCGGTTTCTTGGCCAAGGAAATCGGCCTGGAATCCAGCCCAAGTCGCAGCCGAATATATGGCCACCACCCGCAGGCCAGGAGCCACGATTCCGATTTCGATCGCCGGCTAAGCGATCTCAATTTATCCACAGCCACATGGCCATCGGCCGAATCCGAAGGGGGCTTACTAAACTGGTGCTCATTACCGGATATTAAGATATTAGGGCTGTACAGCATATCAAAAAAGAAACACCTTCTAATCATATTTTCTCCAACTAAATTAAAGTCACACTGGAAAAAATAATCACAGCAAGAACTAAAATGTAATCTACAATTTTCATTCAAACTCTATAAACATTATCCATGCTTTTCCTAAATATATCAAGTTATTTGTTCAATGTAAAGAATTTTTAACAATCATTGAATACAGTAAATTTCATTCACAAAAGCTAATATTTTTCTACATTTTTGATTAAATTTCAAGATAAAATAAACTTAAAAATTAAACTTTTTAACTGGTTTTTTTTTATCCCAAAATGTTATTAGTACTTAATGCAATTTTACAATACCCTTCTACCTCAAAAGTAAAAAATGATATTTATAGGTATAAGCTACTAAAGTAGTATATGTCCTTTAATATATCACCCTGACCTATTTTGGTAAAGTCTTCTTCAAGATCAAATTAAAATATCGTATTTAAAGATGCAGTTTATTGGTGAACCCTGCCAAAAGGGCCTGAAAAAATGCCTTAAAATTCCCTTATGCGTCCATAATTTTCTCACCTTTCTGATCGAATCGGTACTGATCGACCTTGAGACCCGCACAGCATCCGCAGGTGGGTCCGCTGCACTCGCAGGGCTGTCCGAAGGTGGACCAGATGGAGCCCTTCTCCGAGTACTTCACGCTGGCCAGGTTGCGACCCCTGGACACACTGACCGTGGGCGGCAGGTAGGGTCGGTGGGTCTTCAGTTCGTAGAAGATCAGGCCGTTGCTGTAGCTCCGCGAGGATATATGTTGGGGATATATGCACAGGACGAGCACAAGGGCCAGACATAGACCGATCCAGGGAGTCATGGCCAGGTTTCAAAAGATAAACTCCACACTGAACAAAAAACAGAAGGTCACTGAACAAAAATGCTACTGATGCTACTATGCGACTCGAGTATTTTGCGATTCTCTTGAAGAATTCCCGGATCGGATCACTCGATCACTGCACGATTAACGGTATCGGTATGGCCGTGGCAATCCAAATGGCAATACCACTATTTCAGAGCTATTCGCACTGGAGCAATGACAACCGTTCGCGATCGACGACAATTAAATATTAAAACGCTGAGCGCGACGAGCGTTAGCTTAAAAATGAAATGGAAACCGCCGCCCGAAGAAGTCAGCAGAGGCAGAGGCAGAGGCAGCAACTGCGGCTGAGACAGAGGCCAAAATGTTGCTGCTTGGAGACACGGCAGCAACAGCAGCAGCAGCAACACCAAGCAGCAGCAACAACTGCAACATCCAACGGCAGCAGCAACCTCGTTAAATTGTCGCTCGTTGCGGCTGTTTGCTGTTTTTGTTTTTGCGAGTAAACCATTTGTACACTATCACAAAATGGGGTATCATAAGTAAATGAATACCTCTGGTATTTCAAGATTCCCTCAAGAATATGTTCTGACATTTTTTAACTTTAAAATAGTTTCCATTTTATTTGCGGGTTTTAAAGTTAGTTTTCAAAAATCTTTTTCTTAAGACTTGTTCACCATCGCCTTTCGGCTTAAAAAGGTTCTAACAAAATAAAAATAATATTTTTGCCATCATCATACATATATCATTTTACACCTTTACACCATTTTGAGTATGAAATGTATTTTCTAGTAATGCCACAACTTAATTTTCCACTTGGGAGTTATGTATAACTATTATAAATTTTCACAATTTAACTAATTAAACAAAAACAATCCCTGAGTAGAGTATTTCGCATTCACCGTGAATTTGCCATCCGTTTTTTTTTCTTATCAGCAGCGGCAAATCGCCAGTTGCTGTTGCTGCTGCAACATTTTTTTATTTTTGCTATTGTTGTTACTGTTTCTGTTACTGTTAGTGCTGCCGTTCGTGTTGTTGGAGTTTTTACTGTGACCGCCGCTTTGTTTATTTGTCTTTTAGGCCGATGTTGCTGCTGTGTCTGCAGCAGTTGCTGTTGCTGTTGCTGCTGCTGCTGCTGCTGTTGCTGCTTTGCTTTTATTTGCGTGTGCCGAGCGGTTTTTATTTTTCTTCTTTTTTTCGGGTGACAGTGACAAGAAAATTGCGGCGATCGTGACTGGCTGGGAAAGCCAAAAACAACAAAAGTCCACACTCCCTACCGCTTTTCTTGCTGTTGTTGCTGTTGTTACGCAAATCACTTGGGGCAGGTCATGGCCTCATGGGCAAACTATCAGCTCGGCGATTTTCGAACTGGGAACCATTACCACCAGCGGGAGTTACGGTTATGGCCGCTGCTGTTGCCATAAACAAGCCTGATTTATCGATCCAATTGTCGCATCTGCAATTGTCACCCGCTTATTCTCCGGTACGCCCTTTCCCCAAATGGCCATTTTTACATGTATCACTGAGCTTGTAAACAAACCCAATGGTCGTCCTTTTTATTCAATTTTTTTGTGAACAAAAAGGTACACATTTTATAAGAAATGGCCTTGAGAGGTATATTCTTTAGGTTCCTGCACTTCCAAATTCCACAGCTTGAGTAATTGGCTTCCGATTTTCAAGTGGGATACCTCAATGAACTCGTGGTATTCTCTAATAATCTGCATTCAAATTTATCATTTAGGAGAGGGTCAAAATTTCAGCCCATTTTCATGTTCGATTTTTTCGTATTTCCAATGGATTTCAGCATGAACACCAAAAACTGGACTTCTAAATTCCATAACTTGATCTATTGGTTACCGATCTTAAAGTGGGATGCCTCTATGAATTCGTGGTTAAATTCTCTAATAACCTGCATTAAAATTTATTATTTAAGGGAGGGTCAAAATTTCAGCCCATTTTCATGTTCGATTTTTTCGTATTTCCAATGGATTTCAGCATGAACACCAAAAACTGGACTTCTAAATTCCATAACTTGATCTATTGGTTACCGATCTTAAAGTGGGATACCTCTATGAATTTGTGAGAAAATTCTCTAATAATCTGCATTAAAATTTATCATTTAAGAGGGGGTCAAAATTTCAGCCCATTTTCATGTTCGATTTTTCCGTATTTCCAATGGATTTCAGATTGGGAACCAAAAACTGGACTTCTAAAATCCATAACTTGATCTGTCGGTTACCGATTTAAATGTGGGATACCTCTTTGAATTGGTGGTTCAATTCTTAAATAATCTACATTAAACTTTTTCTTTTAAAAGATGGATTATAACCCATTTTCAGTTTGATCTTTTCGTATTTCCAATGCCTTTCAGAGTGGGAGCCCAAAACTGCACTTCCAGATTCAAAAAAAAAAGTTACTTCGCCATAAATTTAAGTCTTAAACGATATCATTTGATTATTTTGTAATGCCTTTCTTTCTCACTTCAGGTTGGCAGAATCAACTATAAGTTTTCAGACTCTTTGGACACCATGTCTTTTGGATGGCGGCGTATCTCGGTGGCTATTTCGGGTACCGGTCCCAATCGCCTTAGGGCCCTAGTATTGCATAAGGTCTGGCCCAGACTCATCTGTCAGCCGGTGGCCAATGGCCGGCGGATGGGATGACCAAGCTGCCATCAAGCTGCAATCTCGTTAAGCGTTAAAGGGGACAGACACACTTGCCAAGTTCGACGATTCAAAGGCGAGCGGTGGAATAAAACGAAATGGAAATGAAAATGAAATTGAAATTGAAAATGGAAATAATAGTGTCGCCACAATTAACACTAATAAGCTGGAGACTGAGATGGAGCTGCGGTGCAATGTGCCGGCGTTTATGTAATGGACCATCTCGTCATTATCAGCGGACTCGCTTATTGGGCATTATAATTCATTACTGATAGCATCAATTTGGCACGCCTGCGACTCTTTCTCCGTGACTTGCTAGTCGGCCCTTACGCAAAACATGAATAACTCATTGCTCTATGTGGGTCAATACACGAACTGGAGCTTCCAACGATTTTCAAACGCCCAATTTCCCGGCTCCGGCTCAGAACATTCCAAAAGCTCTCTACTCAAATAGAGCGAAAATAGACTAAGCTAAACTTTAAGCACAGACAGAAAGTAAGGTACAGGTAGCATTTCTTGCTAAGTTCTTGTTGAAAAAAGTTTATAACTCATACACAAAAGTTATTTAAACTTACTAAAGCTTAAAGATGAGATGAGTTCTACAAAAAATATGTTTTAAACCAATTTATATATTTAAACCTTTCTTGTATTCTTAAATCAAAATTCAATCACAATCTCTTTATAAAATCATTAAAGTTCCCTGTTAATTGTATTCTTAAATCAAAATTCAATCACAATCTCTTTATAAAATCATTAAAGTTCCCTCGAAACTTTCTGTATCCCTAGAGAATCTGCAATTTCAAATGTATCCAATGCTCTGAACGTATTTCCCTTTTAGCTCTGCTTAGTCGCAATATTATAAATGCATTCACAAACTTTCGCTTTTTTGCCCTGCTATGTGCATTGTCATTTAGGGTTACATAAAATGCAGAAATGCAACTAAAAGGTTTGGCTGTGCATAAAATAATAAGCAAAGTGAAAGCCTAGCTTCCGGAAGATGTTAATAATAAAATATTAAAATAGCAATTACAATAATACTGTTTAAGACTACCATTCGTATAAACATGTTGTGTTTTGATTACATTAACTATAATTATTATTATATAATATGTGATAATGTACTTGTTTACGTACAAAACACGACTAAGAATCAAAAAAATTGGTGAATTGTGATTCCAGGTTGTTGGCATTGGTTGTAGCTGTCCAAAACAGTCGGTCTTTTTGTTGTACGCCTTGATTTGTCCAAACTACGATGGGAAAACCGAAACCAATATGAATCTGAACTTTTCAAAATGAGCCAGAAAGTGACGCTATCTTGACAGCTCATTTTCCTTGCAAAATTTGTGCCTGTTTGTGACGATATCTTGACATACAGTACATTTTTAAAATGAGCCCGAAAATGACGCTAACTTGACACCTGATTTTTCCGCAAAATTTGTGCCTGTTTGTGACGATATCTTGACATCCAAGCAATTTTGAAATGATCCCGAAAATGACGCTATCTTGACACCTCAGTTTTCCAAAAAATTTGTGCCTGTTTGTGACGATATCTTGACATCCAAGCAATTTTGAAATGAGCCCTAAGGTGACGCTATCTTGACAGCAAAAAGTTTGATTCCCAATTTTGCGCCTGAACGTGACGCTATCTTGGCATCGCGGTGCATTTAAAACTGTAAATGGAACTTAGCGTCAAGCAGTGACTCTCAAACTGTGTTCACTTTTCTCGAGCATATCTTTGAACAGTGCTTGTCAAACTGTAGCATATTATTGGCCGTCCTAAAAGTATGCTGTAAATTCTTTTAAATTGCAGCCTGAAAGTATGCTCTAAAAGTCTTAAAACTAAAGCCGCTCATTTCAAATATAAGGCTATTCATTTTTTTCATCAACCCAAGAAATCTAATATGATAAAATATAAACACAATAAAAATATTTTTTTTGTAATATTTTAATACATTTTCTTTGTTCTTGAATACATACAATGCTCTTGTTTTTGTTTTCATCTTTTTTTTGTTGTATAACACCGACAAAGCAATTGGTTTCGCTGTGGATAGATAATTCACAAACGATGCCGAATATTATGCCATCCAAGTACATGTACGTGTGGGTTCCCCGGGGAACCCGTAAATATGTGTAGATATATAGGTAAATATATTATTTTCATATATGTAGATGAGTGCGTTAACGCGTATGTGTGTGTGTATGTGTTTCGTGTGTGTAAATATGCACAATGATATAAAAAGTTACATAATTGCATTATGCCTGACTTCTATATGTGTATCCAAAAGATATCGTTCACAAAAAATATCTTCGATAAAACATTTTGTTTCTTTTTCATTATTTTTAGCTAAATATTCTTGTTGTACACACGCACATGTATATTTTTATAAATGTAAATCGTATATAAGTATGTTTTTGTGTATATATAAGATGTTCCTTGTTCGCTTCATTACTCTTGTATATATATATCAATTTACGTGACAGACAAAAAAAAAACGATTTGTTTTTTATTTCTTGAATGCTTGTTGTAAATGTTCACAAATACAGGCATTAGAGTACTAGAAATTGGGGTTTTCCGCAAATGGGGAGTACGTTTAAGTCTAATTTCGTTATAATACATACATAAGGAAAGTGCTGCCAGCTGCTTCAGAGTTTTCACCTCCGAAAGGTCTACAAAAACCCGAAAAGGAAGTGCCCTTCATGGTCGCAGAATGGGGCCAAATAGCCATCTGTATAATCATGTTATACACCATCCACAAAGTCCTGCTCTTTCGACAGATTCCCGGATACTTTAACAATGCTCTTTCGTTTTGTTTTAAATCTTATTGTACAGACAACATCATTCCCCTTAGCTTGTTGGCTTGGCCGCTCTCTTGTGTGTGTGCTCTACCGCTTATCGAAATACTAAATACTTATATCCTAAGTAACATAATGTGCTTACACAACTATCGAAAAAAAAAACCACTTGTATATTTGGATATTCAGTTATGAACTACATACGAAAAAAAAAACATTTCCCTAGGTCTAAGTTTCACTTCTTACGCGAGAATCAAGAACGAAAAGAGATAGTTGGCTGTTCAAGTTTGAGAAAAAGCTGACTAAACACTAGGTTTCTCCAGAAACATTCGCTATATATACACCCCGGTGGCCGCTTCCGCTTCCAAATCGGAATCAAGCCTAGCTTTTCCCAAAAGCTATCGATCGATTTTGACATCGGTTTTGAAAAAGTAATGGTAAATATGATTACAAAATTAAGAAAATGTAAGTTTGAGTTTTAAATGTGGTTTGGAAACTATCACAAATGATTTTCCAACGAAGAGATATTTTAGTTTATAAAAAATTAAGCATTACTTGCAAGAATATTTGGTCTAGAGATTTTTGAAGAATCTAAATGCTTTTAACAAGAAAATGTAATTTGAATCACTTAAAAATAAATATTAATGATTTGATAGAATACATTTGATATGAAATCAGTACAGTTTATCCATAAATCTGTACATTTTGGAATACTTGGGTGTTTCGGAGCTGACTATCCGATTTGGATGGGAAACGCAACAACGAGGGCCGCTAATAAATATATTCGATATTCCCGCTTGCAGCAAACGCAAAAAGAATTCCACGGTTTTTGTGCCTAAACGTAAGCCTACGAGCTACAAACTAAATTTCGAAAACAATGTACACGCGAATCTAGAACTCCTTGAGGCTGCCGCCGCGCTTCAGTTTGGTCAGTCGCTTCAGACTGGCACCCAGCATGCCCCCCGATCCTCCAGCTGCTCCTGATCCTCCTACTCCATCGTTGCCGGCACTGCGATCGCGCTGAATGAAGGATCCGCGGAAGCGGACTCGTCCGCGCCCACGGCGCTGACCCTGCTGCAGCTGCTGTTGCTGCTGCTGGTGCTGCTCGCCCACGCGGCGCCACAGCTCGGTGAGCGGCGGATGGTGCTGGTGGGGATGCTGCTGAAGGGTGCAGCAGCACACCAGCTCCTGCGATTATAACTTTTTCTCCCACACCACGATGTGGGCGTCATTGGAGTTGGCCGTGAGTGGCGAGCAGCTGGGGTTGCCCGACTGCATGGCCTGGCCCCCGGAGCCGGAGGAACCACTGCCTCCGCTGCCGCCACCAGAGCTGCTGTTCTTATGGCTGGGCGAGCCACCCGCCCCGTTGTACCACATCTGGCGCCAGTAGCCGCGTCCGCCCATAAGGGTGATCACCGTCCTCGGTCCGTCGGCGCTCTGCTGCTGCTGCTGCTTGGTGTTCTGCTTCTGCTTCCGCTTCAGGGTGGCCACCGCGGCGGCGGGCTTGTCCAGTGAGCCTGGGTTTACTGCACCCAGTCTGCTCATTTCCTCCGGCTTGGCCGAGCTGCTAAGCTGCAGCTGCTGCTGCTGCTGCTGCTGTTGCTGGTGGTGGTGATGGATGTCCGCCGTGGTCATCAGCCCGTTCTCGGATATGTTGCCCAGATCGCTGCCTGTGCCGGAGGTCTTGTGGCTGGCACTGCTGCTGTTGCGGGACACGGATCGTCCGCCAAAGTGCCGGATGCCCATGCTCTCCTCGCTGCCCGACGAGGTGTACAGGCTGGAGGACTTGGAGTCCACGGACCAGTTGGACAGGTCCAGCGACCTCGGCCGCGAGGCCTTCATGCGCAATCGCCTGTCCAGGGTGCACACCTTGCCCGGTATGGCCGCCAATTCTGGGTCGGAGCGCCGCATTCCCTCGTACATCATGTCCATCAGGTTGCCCTGGTTGCCCTCCTCCGCATCGTAGTCCTCCTTCACGAATATCAACTTGCCATACAGGCCGTAAACATCGCAGATGCCATGCTCGCCGTGCTGCGAAGTGTTTCCACTGCCAGTGCCCGAGCCCGATGCACTTCCTCCTCCACCTCCACTTCCTCCTCCGCCACCGCCACCGGCTGCAGTGGCTCCCAGGCCACGGGGCAAGGTCTTGGACATCCGGCTTGGATCATCGCGGAATCGCTTGCGGTGGAACGCCGGCGAGTTAGCCAGCGAGGCGCGTATTTTGGCCGAGAAGCTCTGGTCCAGCGAGTTCTGCTTGTCCAGCTTAGAGCTGCGCGGCGATGAGGCCGCCGAGTCCGCGCCGGGGGTGCTGGGCACCACCGCCTCCTCCGTCTTGACCAGATCCCGTCGCAGCACCACCGCACCGTCGTCCAGCTCCTGGACGATCTTGGGATCCGCATCGATGGCCGGCAGCTGGAGATCGTCGCCCATGCTGGGCACCAGTGGAGCTGCTCCCACCGGCGGTGGCTTGTAGGCGGGATAGACCTTCGGAATCAGCGGCAACAAAAAGGTGATCGGTCCGAAGTGCGCGTGGCAGGACATGTTGATGCCACCGCTAATGATGGGCACGCCCTCCAGTCGGGGCAGCGGTATGGTCACCGCGATGCCCACATTGGTGCCCACCCAGAGCAGTCCCTTGCAGGCCATCAAGGCGGTGACATACACGGAGCTGTTGTTCAGCGGCTGCTCCTTCTTGCCATCGTGTCGCAGGACACTGGAGGCTATGTTGATGTCCTGCAGGTGCTTGAATGTCTCCGTGTGGTACAAGCACAGCATCGTCGAGTTCTTCAGCGAGATCCATAGGCCGATGCCCGAGTGGGCCATCAGGTTCACCTGCTGACTCGCCCCATGCTGCACCTCGAAGCTCCGCTGGATCTCGCCATTCAGGGCGTTTAGCACATACACCCGATTAGCGCACGAAGCGTAGATGCACATGTTGATGGGCAGCAGGCTGGGCACCACCAGGTCGGAGTCGCCCAGCCGAATGGTCTGCGGATCGCGCAACTGCCAGACGCCGTCGTTCCCGCGGCGGAAGATCAGCACCGTGGCCCCTGACAGGGCCACATAGACCGCATCGAAGTGGTAGAGGATCCGCTGCACGGCTCCCGGCACCGAATAGCTGCCCAGCTGCTCCTCCTGCTCCGGATTCCTGGCCGAGTAGACCAGAATCTTGCGGCTATCGGTGCCGAGCCAAACCAGGTCGCCCAGCAGGCTGGCCGGCTCGTCACGTGTCCTTAGCTGATCCAATCCCTTGACGAACTCCAGGGCAGAGACCTGCGTCTCGAAGAGATCGAAGGCCCCCGCCTCGCGGAGATTACCCGCCTGCTGGGGGTGCTGGGCCAGAACGGTAATGTGCGAGGAGGTGCCATCGCTGCTGCACATCCACAGGTAGTTCAGCTGCTTGTGCCGGCGTCGCGCGTTTCCGCTCTGCTTGGTGTCATTGGCGATGCTATAGTAGCATCCACAGCGCACCTGGAAACAAAGATTGAAGTTATAGCTGGGAATCATAAGGTTAGGACAAGGAAACCCACCTCGGTTTGATGCTGTGACTTGTAAACAGGCATCGCCTTGACAAAGAGTGGCATTTTGCGCGACTGCTTCTGCTGGACGGCCTCCTGCAGCTGCTGTTGCTCCTGCGTCTGGCGGGGATCGCCCGCTCCCGCGTGCGCATGCTGTAGCGGATGGTGGTGATGAAGGTGATGGGCCGGCTGCGGATGGGAGCCGCCACGCTCCCAGGCCGGCGAGTTGTTCGGATCGAGGGCCAGCTGGGCCAGACGCAGCTCCGTGATCCACTCCTTCTTCACCGCCGGCGTCTGCGTCTGGAATGTGAAGGTCTCCTCTTTGCCGGACTTGTGGCGTCCGGTGAGCTGCAGGCAGCAGGAGTCCACCCAGGCCATCTCCTCGTCCTTGCGCTGGATGGAGCCCTGGATGAGGTTGAGCACGTTGCGCGTGGTGTTGGCGTTCAGCTCCTTGTAGCTGCCCTTCAGGCTGCACACCAGGTCCTGGATGCGGGAGATCACCTCGTAGTCGTACATCAGCGTGCTCATCTCGCTGCACAGGTTGTCCGCCCCGTTGGTCAGCTGGGCGGCCGGCGAGCTGTGCGGGTCCCCGAAGCCGGGGAAGCTCGAGGAGCCGCCTCCATGTCCCGGCAGGGTGCTGGTGGCATACGGACTGCCGTTGGCGCCACTGCTGCCGTTGGACTTCAGGCTGCCGCCGCGGTTGAGACCTGGAAAATAAATAAATAATGAAATAAAGATATCTTAAGCCGAAGAGTGCTAGTAGATGGGCAATCCTTACCGGCTGTGAGAATCCTCGAGAGCGTGGCCGATGTGCTGTTGTCCACGATCTCGACGTCGTTGACCGGGAACATCCACTTGAAGGTGAGCTTCTCGGTGGCCCCGAAGTCGTGCGACTGCTTGGGCGCCACCGACACGCAGATGACTTTGTCGTTAAGCAGGAGCAGGCGGCGCTGCTTGCACTTGACAATGAACCCGGCCTGGTTGAACTCCATGTGGGTGACGTTGTCCTCGCGGAGTAAGTACCTCGGCCGGTGGCCGCCGGCGGAGTCGCTGACGCTCACGCTGCTCAGGCTGAGGGAGCGGGCATTGAAGGTGCCCGAGATGTGGCCGAGCATCTCCTTGAAGGCCTGGTACTGCTCCGCCTCCCGCTTGCTCTCGTTGAGCAGCTCGGCCAGGAGTTCCAGCTGCGACAGGGCCAGCTGCAGCGACATCCGATCATGGTGGCCCTGCGGGGTGTACTTCAGCAGATCCTGCAGGAAGAGGATGAACTGGGGGAAACGCTGCACCGGCTTTACCATCAGCCCGAAGAACGACAACCGGTCGTGGGCGCTGATCTGCTTGACCTTGAAGAAGTCGGCCAGCGCCGACTTGCGCTTCTCCTCCATCTTGGCCAGCTCCATGGCCGCCGAGAAGTTGTTAATGAAGCCCGAGTAGATCTCGAGTAGCTGCGGCTTGCCGAAGGCGCTGACGAAACAATCGCCAATCTTCTCGTCGCGATCCCAATTCCGGACGCACTCCGCCAGCGAGATCCGGAACAGCTTGTGCGAGTGCAGGATGTCCGGCAGGCAATGGAACAGGGTGGCTATCTTCACTGGGTTCAGCACCGGCGGACTGCACTCCTCCAGCGGTTTCTTGTAATCCTGCGGGGTTAGAACGGCACAAAGTGATTAGTTGGGTGATTTTGGGATATCATTTCAAGGAGTCACACCAGCCTGCAGATTCTTAAAATCCAATTCGCTTTTATTATTATGTTAAGGGTCTATAATTCCTGAGAAATAGTACAGAAGTCGATACAAGAATATTATACTTAATTGATTTTTGTATATCATCTTTTTTTCGTTTGTTTAGGATAGAAAACAAAATCTATCTTGAAGTATATTTACACCTAAGCTTTGAACTTAATATCAAGTTGCAATGTATTTTGAAAATATAAGGATCATATTTAAATGGATTTAATATATGCATATATTTTTTTCAGGATTGGTGCAACACCTTTCATTTGTCCTTTTACCAAGCTCTTTGCGTCGGATTTTCTATCGGTTTCTCACAGTTTTGCTTAGATCTTAATCGGGTTTTTGTTTAGCGAGTATTTACTTGTCTTGGTTTTTCTAATTTTGTAACTACATGTGGGTGAAATATGATTTTGGGTTCAAATTTGGGTGTGTATGTTAATTGGTTAGTGGGCGAGTTAGTGAGTGTGATTAGTTGGTTAGTTGGTTGTTTTATGACGGTGAAATCGGCAGTTATGGCATTTGGGAAGAGGATGGCATGTAAAGAGATCAAATGATTTGACATGAGATTAACATTAGTCGGTGGTTAAGTGGGGAAACTAAGGTTGTCTAACTACAAAGGCATGCAGTGGCATTACGTAACCTACAATAATTAAATGTTATAAACTTTTTGAAAAAGTCTTTCACTTGGTTTTTAGATCTGTGAAGGCCCCATCAGGTGTTATATCTTTTTCCAGCTGCCACTCACATTTTTACTCACCATCTAGTTAGTCCCTCTCCAAACTTCATCTCCATCATATCCCAACGTTACCCAGTTATATCCACAACCTATATATATTTGAGTTTCATGATCATACATAGTTTCATGATCATACATAACCATGTTGACCCTTAAGGATCTCAATCTGACGAAGGACCAGATCCAAAAGCTTCAGCAGATGCTGAAGGAGGAGAGCAAGGATGCTCCACAGCAGGATTCCAAGGAGCCATCGCCCAAGGACGACGATCCGCAGCCAAGTCCATCGAAAGGTGAGGCCATAGCCCAGGCCCTGGGGAATGTGCAGGTCTATGTGGAGGCCGGAAAGCCAGAGGCCTTCGTTCAGCTGAAGCAGCCCCTGCTGCACAAGTTCGAGGTGACGCCCCAGGGAGTGGCCACCGGATGCCCGGAATCGGACAAATTCAATCGGGCGGACTCGGAGGAAATCGCTCGCTGGCAGACGGGCAAGGCGATCAACTTGGATCTCGTTACAAGAAAGGATGCCGAGCAATTTGGCAAGATTCAAACCGACGATCGCACCGGGGAAACGTACATGATAGTGCCCATGGACATAAACATACTGGTCGATAAGACCACCCTAACGCCCGATGTGGCCACGAAGACCATCAGCGAGTACGATGCCTACAAGGAGGAGACGGGACCGGGACAGACCTTCTACCTCTACCACGAACTCGAGGGGCATCCGTGCAAGCTGCCACAAGCTGCCCTGGATCAGAATCCCCACACCAGCCAGGTTGAGCCCGTTCCACCGGAGAGCCGGATCGACTGGGACTACCACATGCACGATTTCGAGGTGCCCCCCCTCAGTTTTCCCTTCGAACTCTCCTTTGACCCGGATATGGATCGCTTGGTGGGCGGCGAAACGGAAACGGAAATTGACATTGAGGAGAATAGAACGGACGAGGATTCGGAAAGTCCAGATCAAGACATGCAACTAGTAGCTGAGGATATCAATGATCTCGAGGAGTTCCTTGAGGATATGGAGATCTGAAGGGCAGACTCCATCTCAGAAAATGTTCTTACTAGCCAAATTAGATCTCAAGCACCTCCCTTTAAAACCCCTCGATTACTAAGTTCGGTCCAACGCTGTAACTAAATCTTTGCCTTAAATTTGCCTTGTTCCAAATTAAATTAAATTATATAGTTAAAAGTTAAGATCATAATGATTTTTCTACATCTAGTATATATCTAATAGTTGCAATGTATTATCTAAGCATGCAGTGATATCAGATTTTGTAACCGATTGAATAGGTACCATTCACTCACATTGACTAGTCGCTGCAGGGTGGCCACATACGAGTTCTCACTGTGGACAATGGCCGCCACGATGTGGCGCCTCTTCAGCTGCTGCTGGGACAATCCGGCGGGGGCGGGCGGCAACATGGGGACAATCAGCCGGTTGTGGGCGGTACGAGCGGTACCGTTGGCCCGGCTGCCCGGCGCCATCATCAGGTCCATGTCGAAGCGATTGGCGGTCGCCTCATCATCCTCCGACTGCAAGAAGATACACAGGGAAAAATATTGATAAGATATGATGATCTTTTTGATGAAATTCAGTATAGATAGTATCTAGAGATCACTTTGATATATATATTGCTGTCTCGCTCTTACTCAGAGTAATTTTAGACGCTATCTCTTTCGATTTCAGAGAATTTTCTAAGAGAAAAAATTGGAACATACCATCCGAACAAGCATTCATTATCTGTCTAGTTAGTTTAAGTTAAAAATTGAAAGGTATAACGAAGTTAGGATGCAATTGAAATTTATTTTTTATCTATTTATTTTATATTTTTGTTTTCTATAGTAGATACTGATCACAGAGACTTTGACTATGATAGTGATTCTAAGTTATCTTACTACCTTAATAAATAAAGTGTTAATGATTGATTGAACATTTTTTTATACTTGCTTATTTATAATAAAAAACAAAAATAAATATATTATTTTTAGACATTACTTAATACATGAATGCTTCAATGTTTGATTTTCAATATTTCTTTTTAATTAGTTTAATTAGTTTAATTAGTTCGAAAAATGACTCACCTCTGGCACTCCGGGCATCATTTTACTCGCTCCCAAGTTGGCCAGCTTCTGTGGCGAAGCGGCGTCCAGCGCTGCTCCTTGGGCCACTCCGCCAGTGGATCCAGCTGCCGATCCGGAGCCACCTTTTCCCGTGACCGGCGAGTTTCCCGATCCGGAGTCGGGGGTGTCGAAACTGGAGGCCGTCGAGTGGCGTCCATCGCGGCCACCCACATCGTACTGATGCGAGGAGCCGCGCCTGATGGAGAACCAGCGGGACAGGCGTCCGCCGGGCGACTCACCCGGCGTGGTGGCCTCCTCCCTCTGGGAGGATCCACCCGATCCGCCAACTCCTCCTCCTCCTCCGCCACTCGATGGCATGGTGCAGGCACTGGCCCTGCGCAAAATCATGTTGCTTGTGGCGTTGTTGTTCTCAGTGGTTGATGATCCTGGTCCGGATGCGGATGTGGATGCAGATGCGGAACCTGTTGCGCTTCCGGTTGCGGCCGTGCGCCATTTGTCAAACGACAAATGCTGCTTGGCCTTGTTGAAGGTTGAACGCAATTGCGAATTGCGTTGGTTGCCGGCACTTAGCGAACTCACGCTGCTGCTGGTCTGCTCCTCCTCGGTGAGTACGTCCTCCTCCTCCCTAGCACCTCCCTGCTCCTCCTTGTCCCGCTCCCTGTCCCGCTCGAGATTCCTGTCCCGCTCACGGCAGGGCGATTTGGTGTCCCGTTCGCTGCTGCTGCCGCAGCTGCTGCTACTGCCAACGCCGACACCAACGGCAGCCTGGCCACCGTTGGCGCTGAAGCTTCCGCCGGCAATTGTGGCTGCGGTGCAGCCCGCTCCGTCCCGCTGCTCCCGCTGATCCCGCTCCCGCTGCTCGGCGATCCTCCGGCTAAACGCGCTGTGCAACTGGGCGGTGGTGATGCTCGCACTGGATGGCGGTGATCCAATGAACGAGGTCTGCTGCTGGTGCCGCTGGCCGAGGTGCGAGTGGTGCTGCTGGTGCTGGTGGTGCTGGTGGTGTTGGTGGTGCGAGTGGTGCGCTTGGTGGTGGTGCGGCTCGTCCAAGGTGTCCTCCCATGAGCCGGAGTTCAGTTTGTGTTCATCTGGAAGGGGGAAAAAGTATATATTAAATTATTGTAAAACATAAATATCGGTGCAATATACAAGATAAAAGACTCTTGTTTATATAATTATAAATATTTATCCCTAAGTTACTAATTATAAAAAATAATTTAAACAATCTTTTCGAGAAATAATAACTTCATAGAACAGTGTCAAGGGAAATACAAGTCTTAGCTATGTATAAACACCCTTAAAAAATAGATGACATGACATTCAATATTCGGTAGTTCTCTGGGTGACGTCATTCCCCTTGAGCATTACCAATTATGTGGCGTTGGCCAAGTGAGTTAATTGCCAGCAATTGTGGGCCATATGCAGATGAAGTCGGCCGAAACGGCAGCACAAACAGGATTTGGCCATGGCCGTCATGTCTCTGTTCGCGATTACCGCCAATTTTTGCGGCGTGGGACTGGGATTGCGACTGGAAATCAGGGGACTGCAAAGGGACAGGAGGGGGCTCGCATCAAAGCCAGAAAGCCGCCAATTCTGGCCAAGACTCATTCTGGCATCGTGTGGGTTACTTGCCAAGTGGCCATGGCCAGAAAGCCAGCAGCAACTCCCACACTGGGGCCACGTACTCCGGCACTTAGACTCAACAGAGCCATAACAACCACTCCGCCAGAGCCCCCAGAACCACCAGAACGGCATTAGAGAGACAACTGTCAGGCCCATGGAATACACTGAGAGAAACAGAGCCACACCTCTTGGCCATGTGATAGGTTTTCATGTGCTTTATACCACAATCTGGCCTTAAATAAGTAAGCTATCATGCACGCAAAGTTTCCTGCACTTAGCATGGCCACACTGCACTTAAAGTTATTTCATTAGTGCGACCAAATACACAAAAGAAGCAAATTTATTTATTTAGTACTTGTAACTATTATTTTTATGTTTTTCTTGCAGTGCACCTAGAAGCCTAGCTCTAAACAAACATTAGGATGGCGATTTCAATTCCGATTCCGACTCCGATTGAGATTCAGAATCAGATGGAGAAAGACAACTACGGGCGCAGAAACAAAACAGATTCGAGACAAACTCGATGTCATGTTCACGACCATTAATCATCCAGTGGACGACGGCGTAGGAATGGGTATGTGGTGACAAGTCGGGTTCAGTTAGCTGTGATAATTGCAAATTCAGCTCAGTCCATCGCCCCCTCCATGTTCCCCGCCCCTTACGCCCCTTACGCCCCTTTTAATCCCCTTTCAAATGTGTGGAAAAAGGAAAAACCAAAATAACAAACCAGAAGATAAAAAAAAGGGAAGAGAAAATTGTGTAAATATTTTGCGCAAAATGTGAAAACATCTTCAAAATTACATTATATATACGGCCCAAAAAAGGGAGACAAATTTCGCTTTTACAAAATTGAGTTTGTGTAACTTTTTGGGGGAGGCAGGAGGTGGGAAACTCGCTTTTCACATATTGAAAAGAGCAGTGGAAAATGGAGGGCGGGGGGCGTGGCAAGGCAGCGTTTAAGTTGATTGTTGGCAAACATATTTTCCTTCGTTTTTTGTTTTTTTTTTTGGCATACACTTGGTTTAACATAATCTGCAAGCACGCAAATGCGGTCGAGGGAGAGTTTATTAATTAATCTTAAATAACTTTCAAGTCGGGGATGGGGTGCTGGGGCAGAAATGGGAAGTATGAATTTGAATGCACAGGAAAAAAATGTACATATATTAAATAATAATGCAACCTTTTACACTTTATGATGGTTTTTGGGTCTATAAATTATGTAAATAAATCAATTTTAACATATTCCTTTCAAAACCAATTATATGGGACCCTGACACACATTTCGTGAGATTTTCCAAACCATTTTCCGATCCTTATTTTCGACACCCCCACGCATGCGCTTGGAAATCTGTAGTTGTTGCCGTTTATATAATTTATTTACCCGGCTTTCGGATTTCGATTTTGTTTGGCCTGTTACGACATCACGTATACGCACCGCTGGCTCATTAATTATCATCAAGGCGAAATGTGCAACAGTTAACGGAAACCGAAAAACAAACTCCTGCCACGGCACGCAAATAGCAAAGTAGAGACCCCTTTGGATGCATCTGAGCCACCTCCGCGACTTTTTGCATAATGGGAAATGATTGTGAAAAATTAATCATACGCCATGTGAGCCCGCGGGGGAGTCTCCCGAAAAAATCGCGATTCTCCCATGCAATATTTTGTTTACCTTACTTTGGCACAACTATTGCCTGTTTCGTCCATCAGTCAGTCAGCCAGTCAGCCAGTCAGTCACCGAGCTATTCATTCGCATTCGTATTCGCATTCGCTCACTTATTCATTCCATTCGGTACCAATTGCCGCGAGTGATTAATGAGCCACTCATTAATGCCAATGCAGAATGCTCGAGCAACAAAGAAAAATCTCTGCAAATGCTAATGCTCACTTAAATTATACAAATTACACACATCCACACGTTGCCATATCTGTTTGTTCTTTATTGTTTTATTGTTTTGCCAACTCATTTCACGCCCACAGGGGCTCAAAAACCAAACCAGAATCAGAAACAGACCCCAAACAGTCATAGAAACCAAGTCGGGCGGAGTCGAGTCCATTGCTAATTGAAATGACAGCCACAAAGATTGTGTAGCCACTTTAGAGGCACAAATGGCACAGCCTCGATGGGTCAAAGTCTCCGAATACCCTGGCCAAAGCGAAGCAAAAGCCACAAAATTAAACGTTATTGTCTATATTGTGGCAAGTCAAAGGTAACTTTAAGCAAATATGGCATCCTTTAGCCAATATAATAGCCAAATTAAATGTTTTGGTCCACATTTGGCAAGTGAAAATTTGATTTGAAACACATAAGCCTGCTGCTCTGAAACAGTTTATCCACTCAACGAAATTCTGAAAAGTTTCTCACCTGAAACTTTATAGAAAAACATTCGCTAGGTGCAAGACAAAGTTTACACATTTTAATAAAATTATTTTAAGCCTTTACTAATATAATCAAGAACTATGTAAATATTAAAATTATACAAGTTTGGTGATGTAATTGGAACTGGAAATGGATTGGTTTAGTATTCAACATAGTTTTGCTTATGATTGATAATAAATTAGCAATGAAAAATAAATTCCTATCACTCACTATCCTTTCTAAGCTAAAAATTACATCTAGATCTCTGGAGGCTACGAAACTTTTGGCCAAAATGGAGAGCCCCCATGTCGAGGGTATTACAACTGCAACTAAAAACTCGAGTCACACTTTGCGCTGCATTTGATGTGCCCTTCTTCTGGCCCCGAGATGGTTCATAAATATTTCAGTCCAGCGCAGAATGCAGGCCAGAATGGTTAAGTAGCTGGAAACTAGTCACCTGCTGTTACGCCTCCTGTTCTCCCGCCTCCCCCCGATTCTCTGATTCTCTGATTCTCCATTTCTCCAGAGGGGTTCTAATGAGGCCACAAGGCTTCGTGCGACTCTCAGCCACGAGTTGTAAAGTAATTTCGTGTGTGTCTGAAATTGAGCAGCGGGCAGCCAACGCCCCCCTTTTTCCCCCGCCCCTGTCCCCTCAGCAATTTCTTCCCACCGTCCCACTCTTTTCTCTGACTCAGAGGCAGAAATTCAGCAAAGTTAGCAAGTTTCCTAAGCCAGCTGCAGGGAAAAGCTGGTGGCCAAAGGAGTTTAAAGAGAGGCGAGGAACACGAAAGGGGTTACACAAAAAGAAATATATCAGAAAGAAGCCAATATATCAACTATAAACTCTAGCTGATAACTAAAAATATAAAATCAAGAGCCTTAGCTATTTTATTAGCAGCCCGCAAGGTCACACTGTACATTTTCTATAAAAAAAAGGTGTGACCAGCTGCCAGAAAAAAGCAAATCCAAGTGGATAATTATATTATTATCTATCCTTAAAAATGCTTTAACCCATAATTTCTTTGCCTTCTCTCTGTGTAAAAGTTAAAGTGGAAGCTTGCGGAAGCTCATTACGCGCACCGCCAAAAAGGAAAAACCCAAAATCGTAGGAGACAAGGCAAGGGAATCTCACCCATGGATATATGGCAGAAACCCCTTTGCTTTTCCCCCACACGTGGCCATAATAAGTGTGGAGATTGCTTTCTATTTGCAATTTTGATGGCCAGGACCAAGACGAAATCGAGAATGAGCTGAGTGAAAAGTAAGACGGGGAAAATAGAGGAGAACTCGGGAGGGAAAGTCAAAGTAGCGCGTGCCTTTGTCATAAACTAATTATTATAATGTAAATCATACACGCAGAGCCCACTTCTAACGGCGAAAACCAGCCTCCAATCCGAAAACATCGGCCGGATGATAATGAGCTAATCCTGCATATTCATGAGCGGAAGCAGGTGATAATGAGGGGGCGGGACAGGCGGAAGTGCCACAGAAGTGCTGAATTAAGTTGGAAAATTCTTCAGGTGCACTGCGCGAAACTGCACACAAAATGGGTCATATATTTTTTTAAAATATTTTTTTTAATTTTTTCAACTCAACGAATAGTTTTTTAACTTTCTATTTCTTTTTAATGCTACCAAAAATTAATTACCGACTCTCAAAGTTATGTTATTAGTTTTTTGGCGAGAGTTGTAAAATCATTTTTAAAGTTTTATTTTTGGGGACGGATTAAAGATCTCTGCCTTCTTTGATCACGCTCGATTCTTGGCCAAAACCATGCTGATGAGGAGAAACCCCAACCGATCGATCTATAGTCCCCCCAGCACTTTCTTTCCCCTTTTTCCCAGTTCTCATTTCGTTGGAGGATTGCGTGTTTGGGCCAAAAACAAAAACCGGGCCAAAAGAAACTGCAAACGCGGAATGGAAATGAAAATGGAAATATAGGAAATGGAGATGGTCAAAATTAATGACATCAAAATTAGGCAGGCAGACAACAGAGACAGCGAAAGAAGAAAAAGATCGCGAAATCCCTGGGTCTTTTTGGCTTTATCGGGCGAACCTGGCCAACAGCTGCACAAAATCGCAGCCGAGTGATAAACTTTGGCAACT